CCAGGCAGTTTGGCCAAACTGCCTGGAAGTGGCCCTGTAGTCCGACGTGGTCTTGGGTGGGTTAGGGTGCTTGCTGACGCCTTTGGTCTGTGACGTGCCGAATGAGGTAGCCCCACTGTAAGAGTATTCTGCACGACTGGAGAGGGATGTAAGGCCAGAAGAGACACTATTATTTGTCTTAGAATTGTCTGAAACTACTGAAAAACCATTTACATGTCTAAATAAAAAACAGCATATTTTAAAAATATTTCATGCAGATTATTCAGAAAAATGCTTCTACAGTTCCCACCAGAAAACACCCCCAAATGCTGCCTTCTTATAGATTAATCAATGGTAATAATACACTTTATATAGTTTGGCCTAATAATGCTTTGCTGTCTCCCAAGCATGAAGGAACACATACAGCAGGAGGAATTCCAGCTGCCTCCTCAGAAAGGCACTGGAAAAGTTAATGAGTAGTACTGTAGTTATAATGGCACATGACTGTCAAACCAGTCCATGCCTTATAGAAACTCACAGGCTGCTCTGCCGTGTCACAAAGTGCCAGAGTTCACTGGATCAGTTATATGGGGGGGGGGCTCTGTTACCCCCCCAGGGTCACCCAGGCCAAGGTGATTCTGACACTCAGCAGAGGACGTCACTCAGTGGCACATCTGTGTCTTTTTGCTGCTATTTTGACACAATATTTGAGAAGCAGCAGATATCTGTGTCACATTATATCAACGTCAATGAAAAAAGTATCCATGAGTAAACTATTCTATGGGCTCAGGTTTCCCTGCATTTAATACACAGAAACAGAACTCGACAGACAGACAGACAGACAGATTCCGTATTCCGTACGACAACACAGAGTTCCGGAAACGCCATTCCAGGCCGGATCTGTGCTTTGCGGCCTCACTGCATTAACAGGAAGACTACTGAGGATCAGCACACATACCTCAGTGCTTTAAAACCGTGGTCAGATAGGAGAAGGTTGTGGGTGCACATTCAATGTACTGTATCTTAATTAAACACCCAGCTGGAGGTATGGGGGAGAGACACCCCTAGCAGACGTACCTTGTTTTAAAGGTCCCTGCCAGGGAGAAGCAGAAAATAGCGCCCCCTATAATGCTGAGGACTGAGCCAGCCCACCCAATGAAGAGGGCCACCCCCAGCTCAAACCTACGGGGGCACAGCGATGCGGTGGTTAGCCAGGCGTTTGGGGTCCGGCGATCACAATGTGTCCGTATAAAACTCCATAGAAAACAATTAACATACTGCAGGAAAGACCTGCCCACAACTTTCACGAAATCAGGATCACGGTTTGCTTTGGAAAATCTTATTAAAAAGTAAAACTACATACAACTACATAAAACAACTGGACTAGATCAATGAGTTTATTCGAAATATGTTTATTAATGACTTGAGAATATTTTGCTAAATGAACGTACACATCTTTTGTGGTCCTTAGCCTTTACATGTGTATCATGTTTAATTCAATTTTAAATAGACCAAAACTACTCTTATTTTTTGCAATGTCCCTCCATCTATCTGAATTGTAAACCTCATCGAATACTTAATAACTTACTTTTGTGCAAGAAACATCGGATCAAAAAACTCGGATGTGATCCTGTGAGCGTAGAGGGAACACGCGGTCAAAGAGCACAGCCCTGCAGAAAGATCGCTGTCAGTACATTGGATACAAAGGATGGACGTTAAAATAGCAAAACGACCGAAACGTCTCACCAGTGAGCACGAAGCTGACACCGGCCAGGAAGGCCAGCTTGGCTTTGCTGCCGTCAGCCCCGCCGATCTTGGTGCATTTCATGCCGACCAACGCGAAGATGGATCCGAAGAAGCCGAGGCAAACGGAGGAGATCATAAGTCCTCTGCACACCTGGATGTAAGCTGTTAAGGGACATGGATGGGAGAGGATCCATAATAACTTAATTTTTCCATAGGAAATTCCAGACGCATACTTTTACTTGAGGATTTTCTTATTTTATGAAGGTAACAATGAATTACAATGTGAGTGCAGTTTGGGGAAGATTCAGCTTGAATGGAACAAGTAGTATGAGGGGGGGCAGAAGGAGGGGGCGTGAATATTTTAAATGTACGTTAAACGCGGAGCTTTACTCAGCCTCAATCATACATCTTAATGAAACAAATATGATTATTATCTCTGCAAAACGACACACAACCATTTTGGCACCTCGAAACTACCAGAAACAAACATTTAGTTTTAAAAAGCTTAAATATAACAATGACATAGCGATCAGACAAATGCCGATGTTCCGGATAAATTTTAAAAGGTTTTTATTGCTGTGGTGTCAAAGTATAGCGTCTGGAGTGCGCATTCATGGCGGGAATAAAATAAATAAATGAAAGCAAATGCCGTCACGCTGGCATGCCCCCTTAATGCGAGCAGGGGAGGGGGACAGAGCAGACATTGTTCAGCACCGCATGGACCCGCGTCCCTCCACCTCACAGAGTCCCGGCAGCATCCGCTCTTACTGCGCTACTGTGCGGCTGCGGGACCCGCCGCCCCATCCACGTAATACGACTTAAAACGCTTAGGTTTAAGTTGCGTGATTATAGCCTTTCTGTTAAGTGCATTCTCCAAATCACAAACACTAAAAGGCCTAGTACCGTAATAAATTACAGGCTGCATGTACTACAGTATACACACTCGTGGCCAAAACTGTGGAAACACCTTTTTTTAGAATTACGCTTTAATAGCCTAAATCACTACACGAATATTGGCGGTAATGTCTATAAACAATAAAAAAAAAAAGTTTACAAGTATCATACATTGGACGATTAAATAAGTCACTGGAATAAAGTTCTGCAATCTCTAAAAATTTGACGTGTTTCCATAATTTTGGGAACTATACATAGGCTACGCCATACGCGGTAGCAGTATGATTTATTTATGAGATCATGGTAGTACAAACTGAAAGCTGTTGTTTGTCTTACATTCGTGACCTGGGACATGTTACTGCATGTAGGCCTACTGCTAAATGGTATATGTATTTATATGTAAAAATTCTGCCCCACAAAACAGTAATTTGTGCATCGCTTCGTTACAGAGCTAATAAAATTACATGCTAGAGGTCATTTCTAATTTCTAATTTTCTCACAGGGTTTGCTTAACCGCCCAAAATAAGTGAAGCGTAGAGGCAAAGGGGTCTCAAGAGCAAATGAGCACCAATTTAACACCGGGAAACGATCCGGGGGGGGGGGGGGGGTAGCCTTACGGGCACTGTACCTTCCCATTAATATCGCTAATAAAGTACCATCGCGGAGGAGCTGCAGGTTCTTGGAAAGTAATGAGTTTTTAATTGAGACGTGACAGATGACTGGGAGTTAGGGAGCAGGGATCAGTGAACCTTAACACAGCAGTGAACCTTAACACAACAGTGAACCTTAACACAGCGCGATGCCGTCTGACGCAGTGCCTTGATAACCATGGTATCACAAAACAAACCAACATAGAGACACGATAGACTTTCCCAGACGCGGGGGATCCCTTTGTCAGAACGACTGAAAGTGTATGCTTTGTCAGGTCCTGGGTGCCCCTTTCCGATAAAACAAATTTTATTATCCCCCCAACCCGTCGGAAACACAGTCCTATTTTTATCCAAAAATCTATACGTAGCTTTCACTTTATTTTGCCGACAATTAAATCTTTGATTCAAGTTATTCTGATGACTTGGCTTTAGACTATTAGACTATTTCTTACATCCAAAACATACTATTACACGTCTCTGATTCTAGTGCATAAAACATGAATTACTTGTATAAACTGAAAGATCTGTGACTGTTACAAGGATGATCACTTTTTTAAACAAAAATTATTTAAAATTTGAATCCTCTGATGTATAAAAAGAAAAGCAAATGTCAAACCATCCAGAGCCAGCATGGAAGGGAAATCCTTGCAGTTTGAAATTCCCGTCGAATCTGTGACGCAGGTCTTCCAGAGGTTGGACCAGAAGGTGGCTGTGGTGATGACTGTGCCATCGATGGAAGATACCTTCCAGTAGTCCGTGGGTAAGGTGGACGAGATGAGAATCCAGCCAGATACAGAAATGATGAAGGCAAGGATTTCCATTCCCATCGAACTCATTGTTCTCCAAAGAGCAGTGAACACTGCTTGGATTATCAACGTACTGGAGACGGCCACAAGGATGTGGAACTTGCTGGAAGCTCTCTGAGGGCTTCTGGATGGTAGCTCACTGTTCGTGGATGAGGTGGCACTACATTGGTAGTTAATGTGTCTTGGACTGATACATATTCAGCAGGGAGGGTTCGGTCCTTAGCCATCACCACCTACTGACCAGCAGTCACACATATACAGACACACACACACACCGACACGTCACTTCTGGACACACGATAAAGGGGATGGAGAAGCAGGAAAGGTCAATGTGTAGACATGGACAAGGTTAGTAACAAAGATCCAGCTGAGGAATTGAGAGAGAGAGAGAGAGAGAGAAAGAGAGAGAGGGAGAGAGAGAGAGAAAGAGTGAGAGAGTGAGATACATATATGGTCACTCTGCAGACAGACATTAGAGACATGACTGGAGTCTATGGACTGCATGAAAGTAGATTTAAGGATAAAGAAAATGGCATCAACCTATGTCCAAATTTCCTCGCAAGAAGAGTCAAAAACATCTGAAAAATATCACAAATTAGCTGAAAGCTTTTTTGTTACACTTCATTATGTTCTGGATAGTTACAGGTACTGTAGATGAAAAAGAGCGTAAAGATTAGTGGTGATCTCTATGCTCTTATGTATTATGGTAGATTATTTTTTATTATTATTACTATTATTATTATTATTTGAAATTGTTACCATGTGGATTGTAGTTCAGCTCTTGGGTATAATTTCATCTTATTGTATGTGCTTATAAGTTTTTCCTCCCCTTAGGAATATGTTTTGCTGGACATGAATGATTTTTAGGCCGACTGTTCAGGAAAGTTCCACACAACCAGCAGGCTGGTGGCACATTAACCATCCCTCCTTCACACGCGCGTTCCTGTTCCACAGCTACATTGTCATTAACGTGCTTGGTTTGTCCTGTGGTCAAAGTCTGATGCCACCATAGTGAAACTGCAAACATGCTGTTATGGTTGGCTGTGCAGACACGTGACAGGTATGAAATCAAGTCAAAAGCTGAGATGCAAAAGTCTTTACGTCCAAGAAATTGGGGCGCCGATTAATAGAAATTAGCATTATGATGATTTGATTTTACGTTATGGATCCATCTAGTGGTAAATGTTTGTAAATCTACACGATTTTCTGTGACTTGGGGTCTATTAGTCAATACTTTGGATCGAGAAAAGCTTCCCCCTTGGAAATATTGATATGTATAAGATGCAGTTTCTGAAACAGAAAGATAAATTATTTTAGTATTTAATAAAAATTAATTTTAGTTGAAAGACATGATAAATCACTTGACCTCAGGGGCACAGCTAGTGATGCCGCCCCCCTGGTAAAATGTTATCTTGGGCCCCCTTGGTATGTTTCACTGAGGGGGGGTTCTTTCACAGTAGATTTACTCAATAGTTTCATCCACCAAGCTGTCAGGATGCTGAACCCCCCCCAAAGTCTGGACTGTAACCCCTATACACCCCCCATATCCCATGCTAGTCACTTAACTTTGCTTTGCTTGCTTACCTACAACAACACCATATTTGCTCTGTCTTACATCTTTTTGCACAAAGTATTGAATTTTATTTTATTTTTGCATACATGTATATACTTGAATACTTTTATCTTCTTTGCTTGTCTGTCTTGCTTGTCATTGTTAGTGCACACACCCTGGTGTCTAAGAGTACTGTCATTTCAATCTTCCGTGTGCCCTGTAGATATGGCAGAATTCACAATATAGACTTTTGACTTTTAAAAGATTAAGGGGGCTCAATAGAGTGTTGCCCAGTCATGAACCAGTGCAAGAACATACAGAACCAGTGCAAAAACATACAGTACGATTAGAGACAGGGCCACCAGTGTACAGCCATGAACCAGTGCAAGAACATACAGAACCAGTGCAAGAACATACAGTACGATTAGAGACAGGACCACCAGTGTACAGCTATGAACCAGTGGAAGAACATACAGAACCAGTGCAAGAACATACAGAACCAGTGCAAAAACATACAGCACGATTAGAGAAAGGGCCACCAATGTACAGCCATGAACTAGCACAAAAACATACAGAACCAGTGCAAGAACATACAGTACGATTAGAGACAGGGCCACCAGTGTACAGCCATGAACCAGTGCAAGAACATACAGTACGATTAGAGACAGGGCCACCAATGTGAGTGTGCCCTGTGATGGGTTGGTAGCCCATCCTGGGTTGTGTTACAGAAAACAGATGCACAGAATGGCTGGCGTGCTCCTGAGGAGAGGAGAGGTTTGGGAACCAAAGCTGTGTTCATCTAGATATCAGTAACCTTTTGGAGAACATAATAAATTCATGTTATTTCAATTATGTAATGTTGAAATTTGAAAACATACACTTACTGCCCAGATGAATAAGTTTACACGCACACGCAAGCATGCACACACATACAAGTTTGTAATTTTATCTTTCTGGAGACTTTCCATTCATTTCTATGGGGAAAACTCCAGTCCCAACATGACGACCTTAACCCCTACCCAGCTCTAACCTTAACCATAAGTAACCAAACTAAACATTTTTAGTTTTTTGATTGATAGATCTTTGTAGATACCTGAAAAAATGGTCCCCACAATGTCAAAAGCAGGTTTATATTACATTGTGGGGTACATTTGGTCCTCACAATATAATATAAACCTAACATACACAAACAGACACACACATACTGTATATATGATACATATGCTCTCTATATAAGTCCTTGCTCCACCCACGCTGAAAGGGTTGTGAAATGAGACTCTAGGAAGCCTTTCACAGGTTTAAGAATAGTTCATTGTGTGAGGAATTCCTTTAAACAGGTCTGTAAATGACGTGTGTATAGTACATTCCGGGGTGGGTAGGGGACTGCCTCACATGGAGGAAAAACAAAAACAGCAGAGCAGACCAGCACTTCAGCTTCCTGCTAAGATCTCTGAGGCTTTTCAGTAAAGAGCTGAGAATTTGGATCTTACGCAGATTGTGATCTTTACTTAAAGGCTAATGGTGTCTGATCCTGGCTGTTGTTTACACGTCCAGTGAAAGTCTTGCTTTGTCCTGGGGGTTACAGGGGAACAACCAACACTCTGGGCTCCAGATCCAGGCTTCCTGTTTCCTTGAACCTCTTGGTTTTTCATTCCTTCTAGGGTTTAGCTGTAGGCTGGAGCCAGATTGCATCTCCTCATGCTGAAGGGGGGGCAGCTCCTGTTCATGTATTATTGCTGTGTGCCGTTTACAGCAAACTGAAATTATTTAAACCATCCAGGCAAAAATTCTTGTTTAAATATTAATATGGAAATTATTAATTTTAAATAGCTATTACTCTTGATCAGTTATTTATCATCCAATTTGGGATGTTGTGATATAACATTATCACAGAAATAATTTTAAAATTTGAACACAGAAATTCTAACAATTTTAACAGTTTAAACTTTACTTAAAATTTTGTCGAAATATTCACAATTTTAACAGTCCATACTTGCTGTTAATTATTCATTGTACTGTTACAATTTGAATTTTCTATTTTTTGTTGATCAAGGGTAGATAAGAAAAGTACCGGTCACTAGCCGGTGAGGCGCCCTAGGCGAGCATCAGCGCCGGCGCCCCCGTCCGAGGCATGAAATAGGCTGGCAAGTCGGCGCCCCCTCAGAAGTTGGTGCCGTAGGCGGCCGCCTATATGATTGGCAAGCCCTGGTTAAGAAAAAAATAATTTATATATTTCGGATTTTATTTCACAAAGATTGTAAACGAAGCAAATATTTTAGAAGGGTACTCTCTGGTGAAGCGCAGGTAATGTAATGTTTTTCTGCGCTTGTCACGTTTCTTCCACAGGAGGGCATCCGCTCTTTTCATACCCAACCATTTCTCTGGGCGACCGGTAATGTCAACGTTTAATTTCCATTTCCAATACCTTGTCTTTACAGCACTGTTTGATTTGCTTAATGCGCACTTTATTAGCTCCAAAATCTTTATTTCACAGTTTTGTTTAATCTTTAACACATAAGCATGAATTTGTATTCATGCGTTAAAATGGCAGTATTTAATTCTAAGGTTGTTAAGTTTTCCAATAAGGCATTTGCGCCTAAATCTGTATAAACCAACGTGGGGCAAACGAAGCGGGACCTGGCAGCTATGTGAAAAAGCTCAGATCCGGAATCAACATCTGCTTCATTCGGTTCTAATCCCACTTAATGCTCTGATTAAAGTAAGTGTTTAAAGTAAAGTTAAATATATGCAGACGATGGAGCCATTTAGTGATCAGAGAATACAATGGACATGATAAGTATTGTGTTTACTGAAAGTAATTCTGTAGTGAACATGGCTGTTTTGCTGCGTAAAATCATGGGCCTATATGACAGAAGGGTCGCGTAGTTATATGATTGCGTTGCGTACTGTATACCTGGGAAATACACATTTCTAATAAAATAATTCGTCAAGCCACGACGAGTAATAGATGCAAAATACTGTTTAGCGTTGTACATGCATTTAGTGTAATATTGACATTTTTCGCTGTTCAGACTAATCTGCTAATTACAGCGTATGTCCGAGCCCAAGGACGCATGGCGATCAGGCGCCTGTCTCTTCTCTTAATGCGGATTTTATTTCTGTGTGTCGGACCGGACCGGACGGTGCTAGAAGGTGCGCATCGTCCCGTGGCTCAGCTGCGACTGGTATTGTCATTTATAAAAGTATCTTGAGTCACAGTTCGTACTGTGACTTATGCTCAGGTGATATTTGGCCCCCACTTAAGCAGTCACTGTACACTATATGTGTTTCGCAGCCAGCTTGCAACTTTTCGTCAGACTGCCTAGAAAGAAACAGAGATTAAACGCGTGTTGTTTCCTGTAACGTGATGGCCCCCATTTAAAGGCCGGCGGTTTGTCCTGCCTGTATTCTGCCACTAGAGGGCAGCACACAATTACAGTACGGCTGGGGTTAGACCAACACAACGCTTGGTTTTAAACTTTTCTCTTGCAGTAACCTAAACCTCCGTACACACGGTTACAGTGACATACATTAAATATGTGCAAGCAGGAATTTCTTTGTACTTGACTGATTTGACTGATTCCTTTCAGTAAGGAAGTTAAGTTTAAATATCTTCTCATG